AGTAACACACTTGGAAGGTTCGAGAAAACTATTGAATTTTTTTTCGGTAATTTCTAGAAGATATTGACAGTTGAAAATCAAATTTCAATTTTGTTATTAAGCATTATTTTGAAAGTGTCCCATGTTTAATTGGAAGCATATTGGAATACTTAAGCATTCAAGAAGAAAAACTACTATCTTTGCTTCAAATTACGAAAATTTTTGATGTCAAAAAAGTTCCCTTCTAAAATTTTTTGATGAAAAGTCAAAGCGGCAATGATGTTTTTTGTCATCAACAGATAGTTGCAGGTGGATAGCCTTTGTCAATAATAACAATAATTTGTCAAACTGTGACTTACTTTGAGTTTTCTTTCACGAATTTGCGGATATGCGATTAGTTTAAAGGAAATGCTAGAGTAACATAGCAGAAGCTGAAATAACTTGAAAGAAGAAAATAGTTTGTTCCAGGAAGATATTGGACGACAATTGATGTTTAGTTTCCAGACACAGAGGAAGAAGTATTGGACATAATTGCCCTCAAAACATTGCACAACAACTGACACTTTCCCAGGCACCAAATAGATACCGGCTACATTTCTACCACGTATGTAAGATCACATTAAACCAATCGATTACTGAACACCGGTATAAATTGAGCAGGAGTTAATTAACCGAATACGAGAAGCTGCTCGAGAAGAGTGCATAATAAGGTGATTGTTTGGAGTTACAGGCTCAAATGTATGTTTTTGTAGTTTGTAAACAAATTAATAATTCGAGGTTATAAGTTTCGAAATACGGTCCCTCATTCAAAGATTCCTGTTGAATTTACCGTTTATCCTTGTCTATCTTATTGTCACTTTCTCTATTTATCCATGGTTACCGGAGTTTTAAATAATTACGAAGCAACAGGTATTTATGTAATGTTAATTAGGCAGATTACCTTGAAAAACGTTGTTGTCGTTTTCCTAAAATAGTTATTGCAAATTTCTCAGTTTTTAATAACAATTAATATTTTTCAGTAATTTTTCTGTACTCCTAAAACACTGCCAGACAACATCTCCAGAGGAATGACTGACGCCAATTTTGAATCACCCCGTATAAGTGGTTATAAGAGTAGATTTAAAATGTGTTTCTAATCATAGTTGTGTTCTAGCGCAAAAATGGTTAAGAAAATATTTTATGCCCAACCTTCTCAACATGGTTTAAACATTAAAAAAAATTGTATTATGTGAATATAATTCAGTATTAATGAAAATAAGAAATAAAATAGAAACACATTGAAAATATTGAACAAAGACTTCCGACAAAGAACAAGACTTCCGTTTTTCGCAATTTTCAACGGTTTCATTATAAATAAACCACAAAGGGTGGTTTTTTCGAAAAATGTACATAACTCGAAAACTAGTCGCCTTCTGAAATGAAGTAAATCAACTCATTTATGCGCGAGAAAAAATTAAATAGCGAAAAATAGTGTTTTCGCCATTTTGGCGGTCAGTTTGATATTATGTCAGAAAGTGTTAAATACAAAGGGTTTTTGTAGTAAGTTCCAAGTATGTTGCTTTCAAAATAGCAATTATTTCAAACAACTGAAAACAAATTATCGACGTTTCCTAATTGAAATTTCTTCTTTTAGGAACCGTGTATCTCGTAAACCTGCAACTGTTGTGTAAACCATATGAAAATTATGTAATTAAACACGTATTTTCTATTAAAAAATGCCAATTCTTTAATTAATCTTCGGAWCATCTYTTAAATARTAGCAAATTGAACRYTTGCGTAACATCATAACATAGAAATCGGTTGCCAAACAGAGATTTTGTAAATATTCGCTTCAATCGCCTTTAATGCATGTCGGACTCGTTTAGACTTTGGTTTATTCCCGTTCTRTTARCACTCGTTGGGAAAYGAAAAACCACCACTAGTGTTCAAAACATTTGCTTAAAAATGACAAACCCCTTGAACCACACGCTAAAATATGGGAGAATGAAATGGTGGAGCGTCGCTTGTGTAGCTAACAGCTAATTAGTGGACAGGGTGTTCATGTCCGGCGGCAATTTAAATTTTCCGGCTTTAACTAATGTATTCTTTGAATAAATAAAGTCAATAAAACCATTCAAAATCTTCATCGTGCAAAGACGCAATCTTCTTAAATTAAAACCAGCTTTTGCACAAATTGTCCGAGTCTTCGGGCTTTGGTGAGGAAATTGAAGCCGAATGCGTCGAGTATTAATTCCCAAACATATGGGGAAGTTTGTGAGTAGATAGCGGAATGTTGGCAAATTTACTGGGCCCGATGGGTTAACCCGTTGGCGATTCTATTCATAATTCTATGTATTCGCGGCGCTGAGTCGGCAACCGGTCATAAATATGGAGCGACATATCGAGCCACAGTTTTCCGGCGGAGGCCCGCTCAGGAAACGAGCTAACAAATGGCTATGCGACATCATATTTACACCCTCCGCTACAAAAATAATATATGTCCGTTCGAATCATTGAGCACGCATTGGAAGGCGTCCTGTCGAGACGCGAGTTTCACCCAAAACCGGTTATCACGTTTGTGGATGGCTGGAAAAATCCACACATTTAACTCGATCTGGGCTTCAGTTTGGGCATGGTAAAGATCCACATTCACAGGTGAT